ATGCTGCTTGGCCTGCTGTGTTCATCCAGCCCTGCACCTTGTTGTCTTGGAGTCTAAACTCCCCTAGTTGTGTGTAAGTCTGATAACAGTCGGCAATCAGATGGTATGCTGGAAATTGCTGCAGGTTTTTTAAAAATATCAGCTAGTTTCTTTCTTCATGTGCATGAAGATTGGAGTGGAACCTGTTAGATGACTTGCATCAGACCACATCCACTAACTTTTTTTTATTCTTTCATGAGAAATGGATGTCGCTGTGAGCCAGCAATTATTGCCCAAAGGAGGGGAATTAATTTTTTGAACGGAGTCACTCCATTTACTTTAGACAGACACACAATGCCATCGGGGAGGGAGTTCCAGGATTTTGACCCAGCAACACTGAAGAAATGGCATATTTACAAGTCAGGATGGTGAATGCTAGGAGAGGAACTTGCAGGCAGCATTCCCATGTATCTGCTGCCCTCATCCTCCGAGACGATAGTGGCTATGGCATTGGAAGTTGCTACCTAAAAATCCTTGATGAACTGCTCCAGTGAATTTGCAGATTTTACTTGCGGCTATGATAAAGCATGGGTGATGGAAGGAGTGGATGTGGTGCTAATCAAATGGGCTGCTTTGTTCTGGAACGGCGTCAAGCCTGTGGAGTGTTGTTGGAGCTGCACTCATTCCCATTCATCTGGGCAAGTGGGGAGTATTCCATCACACTCCTGATTTATGCCTTGTAGATGCTAAATAGATTTTGGGGAGTCAGATGAGTTACTCCCTGCAGAATTTCTAGTCTCTTATTTATTTATTTAGCCAAACTAGTTCAGTTTCTGGTCAATGCCAATCCTAGGATGTCGACAGCGATTGATTCAGTGACAGTCATGTAACTGAATGTCAAAAGACTAAGGTTATATTCTCTCTTGTTGGAGATGGTCATTGCCTGGCATGCATGGGTCAAGCCCACGCATGGAACTTGTTCATGTCTCGCTGCATTTGGACATGGACTACTTCAGGATCTCAGGAATTGCTAATGGTGCAGAACATTGCAGTGAACATCCCCATCTGACCTTATAATGGAGGGAAAGTCATTGGTGAAGCAGTAGAAGATGGTTGAGCCTAGGACACTATCTAGAGAATGGCATGGAGCAAAGATGACTGGCCTCCAAATGACCTCAACCACCTTCCTTTGCATCAGGTATGACTCCAACTAGGGAGTTTTCTCCCAAATTCCCATTGACTCCAGTTTTGCTATAGATCCTTGATGTCACATTCTGCCAAAAGTGCCATAATGTCAAGGATAGTAACATTCATCTCACCTTTGAAATTTAGCTCTTCTTTTCCCCATGTTTAAAACAAGGCTGCAATGAAGTTAAGAGGTGATTAGCCATGACAGAACCCAAAGTGGGCATTAGTGGGCAGGGCAAGTGCTGTTTGAAAGCACTGTTAACAACATCTTCTATTACCTTATTGAAGGTCAAGAGTAGACTGATGGGCCGATAATTGACCAAGTTACTTTGAACTGTATTTTGTGTACAAGACACACTTGAGCATGTGTCGTAATTTGCAGTGAAGAGTCAACCACATTGCTGTGGGTCTGAAGCCACATGCAGACTAGAACAGGTAAAGATGGCAGATTTTGTAAAGGACGTCAGTGAACAAAATGGGATGTTACAACAATCAATCATCATCAGACATTTAATTCTAGATTTTTATCAAATTCAAATTTGACCATTTACCATAGTGGGCTTTGAAGCCAAACTCCCAGAACAATACCTGGTCTCTAGATTACTAGCCCAGTGAAAATACCATTATGTCATCCGCCTCTCCGTACTTGATTATACTTTGCAGTATGTGAGAAGCAGTATTAATGTATAAGAGTCTGGGTCTCTTCTTAATGGAAGTCATTATAGAGGCAGTAAACGTGAACTATGAATTTTCATTTCATCCCTCCACCTCTTAATTGGATTCCCACCACTTGACTAGAATCAGGAATTCCATTACCCACAGGGAGCATGTTCAACAAGAGCAATGCTATATTAAGTCTACACTTCAACCTAATGGATTCTGTTCATACAAGATTAACAAATGCAATTTCACACTTACCACCAGAGGTTCTTGAAGATGGATCAACAGCTAGAACAGCAACTTTATGACCCTTCCCTGTCAGCATCTTCCCAAATTTTTCAATAAATGTTGATTTTCCAGCACCAGGTGGACCAGACAGCCCTGAAGAGCAATAACTATAGTAAATTACTACAAGTGAGTTTCATTTACAACACAAATATGGATGCAAATTATTGCCTTGAAAGAGCACTAAATATTTCATATAATTGTCAGAAATATATTGGAAACGAAATTGCACAATCCTTTCAATTAGAAAAAGATCCTTACAACATTTAATTCACCATACAGAATAAAAATCATCAGGAGGATTAGGAATAAAAATTGTTTTTTCCCCCTCAGGCTGGGCTAAGTGTTTCATTGAGATAAGAATGCACCATGTATAAACCTTTTAACACAAATTAGGTTTCACACATTAGTCACATTTAGAGTCATGAGATGTGCAACACTTCGGTCCAACTCATCCATACCGACCAGATATCCTAGATAAATCTAGTCCCATTTGCTAGCATTTGGCCCATATTCCTCTAAATGCTTCCTATTCATATTCCTATCCAAGTGCCTTTTAAATGTTGTAATTGTATCAGCCTCCACCGCTTCCTCTGGCAGCTCATTCCATGCATGCACCACCCTCTGCGTGAAAACAGTGCCCCTTAGATCCCTTTTAAATCTTTCCCCTCTCACCTTAAACCTATGCTGCCTGGTTTTGGACTGCCCCACCCCTGGGAAAAGACCTAGTCTATTTACACTATCCATGCCCCTCATGATTTTCTAAACCTCTGAGGTCAACCCTCAGACTCCGATGCTCCAGAAAAAACATTGCCAGTCTATTCAGACTCTCCCTATAACTTTCTGGACTATCTTTTATGATCAATTAGTTTCAAGATATATAAAATTAAAAACGTAAACATGACAGCACACAATTCCAACCATGCCGATCTCCAAGAAAATCTGAGTACAGAAAGAATGGATAAGACCTCCATGTCGATTGGAATTGGATTTTTAAATTAGAAGACTCCCTCTGGACTGTTAGCACATGGAATCTATCTGGTAATTGTTAGTCACGTACATGAAGAACTCAAACATAAGGAGAGCAGAGCACAGACATATGTGGACAGGTTGAATAAGAGGACAAAAAACCTAATAAACGGAGCATAACATGGGAATTGTGACAGGTATAATAAAAAAAATCTGAATGGAGAACAACGGCAGAATTAAGATTATAGAAGGATTTAGATGTTCTAGAATATTAGTCACAAAAAGTTAGTATGCAAATAGAACAATTAAGAAAATTACTAACATGCTCTTTATTACATTACATAATACTTTTTATTAAAAAGAAGAATTTAACAAAAAGTGGAGGATATTATGCTTCAGTTTTAACAGGGATCACATCTCTGATACGGTGCACAGGCTTGGTATGATTTTTTAAAGGAAGGATATAAATCTGTTGCAACCAGTTCACAGGAGGTATACTAGGTTGATACCTAGAATTAGTGGTATCTGATGAGGATCAGTTGGACACATTGGGCTTGTTTCCATGGAGTTTAGAAGAGGAGTAACTTGATACAAGTGCAAAAGATCCTATATGGTCTTGACAAGGGGTACGAAAAGGCTGTACTCTCTTCTGGGCAACTCCATAACTTGGGAACATTATTTTAAAATAAAAAAACATCCTTTAGGATGAAGATTGGGAATGTTTTTACCGCCTCTCAGAGTTTTAGGACTTTGGAACTTTGTCTTGGGAATCAGTAAAGGCAGGATTATTGAATAGCTTAAAGATGAGTAAAGTGAGGGAATTAAAGGTTATCAGATGTAGATAGGAACATGGAATTCAAAACAAATAGTTCAACCATGATCTTATCGAACGGAAGAGCAAGCTCCAGATGCGGAGAAGTCTCCTCACTTCTATGACAGCATCTGGCCTACTTTATTGGTACTGTATTCATCACCTTTAACATTCTCCCATTCCACCAGTGACACATGATAGCAGTAGTGTGCACTAACCATATGATACATTGCAACAAAGCTCCAAATACACAATCTCCACCACCTGGAAGGACAAGGATAGTAGATGCACAGGAGAAATTCCATTTGCTAGTTCCCTTCCAAACCACATCTTAAATTTAATCAATATGCTGGAATCCACTGCACTCTGGCACAATGAATTCTACAGATTCATGATCCTTGGAGAGAAATAATTTCTTGTTTTTATTTTTAAATCTGCTACCCCCTATTCCTAAAAGCATGACCTCTCATTCTAGATTGTCCCATGAGAAACCATCCTATGTCTACCCTGTCAATCCTTTTTAGCATCTTATAGACTGTCTGTGTGGAGTCTGCACATTCTCCCCATGTCTACATGGGTTTCCTCCCACAGTCCAAAGATGTGCAGGTTAGGTGGATTGGCCATGCTAAATTGCCCATAGTGTTCGGGGAGGTGGAGATTAGGGGGATGGGTCTGGGTGGGATGCTCCGAGGGTCAGCGTGGACTTGTTGGACTGAAGGGCCCATTTCCACACTCCAGTGATTCTACAATTCCACGATACCTCAATTAGATCTCCTTTCATTCTTCTAAACTCCACAGAATATGAGCCTACACTGCTTAACCTCACTTCATAAAACAAGTCCATCATTTACATGCTTCAAATGAGGGAATCAAAATCGTACACAATTTTCCAAAGTGGGGTCTCATGATTGCTGTACAGTTGCAGCAATATTTCCCTACTTTTTTACTCTATTCCTTTAGCAGTAAATGCTAAAATTCCATTTGCCTTCCTTATTACCTGCATATTAGTTTTCTGCACTTCATGCACAAGGATATACAGATTTTTCTGCACTGAAGCATTCTGAAATTGCTCTCCACTTAGGCAAGTTTCATTTCCATTCCTCCAAACAAAACAGATCACTTCACACTTATCCACATCATATTTATCTGCCAAATTTTGGTCCATTCACCTAACCTATCCATATCCATTTGTAAATTTCTTATTTCTTCATTGCAACTTAATTTCCCATCTATTTTAGTGTCATCTGCAAATCTGGCTATGGTACTTGCCATTCCCGTATCAAAGTCATTAATATAGTTACATCTTGCCCACCAGAGAAAGACAATTTATCCTGACTCTGCTTTCTGTTGATTAGCCAATCTTCTAGCCAAGCTAACAGCTACCCCAAACCCACGTGATCTTACCTTGCGTATTAACTTTTTTGTGCAGCACCTTATCAAATGGTTTCTGGAAGTCCAGATATACTACATTTACAAGATCCCCATTACCCATATTGCTTGTTACATCTTCAAAGATCTCTAGTAAATTAGTCATATATGATTTACCCATCATAAAACCATGCTGATGCTTATGGATTGTAAGCTAACTTTCCAAATGCCCTGTTATTGCTTCGTTAACAACGGATTCTAACATTTTCCCAAAACAATAAAACTAACTGGTCTGTAGGTTCCTACTTTCTGCCTCCCACCCCTTTTGAATAAGGATGTCATGTTAGCATTTTTCCAAACCTTTGGAACCTTTCTCACATCCAGGAAATTTTGGAATTTTACAACCATGGATTGACTTTTCACTTCTTTTAAGAGCACAGGGTGGAGGCCAATAGGCATTGGTGCCTTGTCTGTCTTCAATTTCAGTTGTTGACTCCATACTTTTTTCCTGTTTTCTGCCAGTCAACCAATCTTCTTCCCTGCTAATATGTTAACACCTACAGCATGAGCTTTCATTTTCCATAATAACTTTTAATGTGATATCTTGTCAAATGTCTTCTGGAATCCAATAAAGTCTCTGGGGTGGCATGGGAGGCAGGAACTCTCGTAGTATTTAAGTAGTATCTAGACTGACATTTAAAATGCCAGGGCATAATAGGCTATGGACCAAGTGCCGTTACATGGGATTAGTGTAGGTTGGTGTTTGTTGATCAGCAGAGACATGGTGGACCCAACGGCTAGTTTCTATGCTGCATTACAATGAAATTTACAGGCTCTCCTTTATCTACTGCACATGGTACTCCTACAGGGAAATGTAATAAATAAGGTCAGAAGTCACATGACACCAGGTTATAATCCAACAGGTTTATTTGAAATCATAAATTTTTGGAGCGCTGCCCCTTTGTCAGGTGAAGTGCATAAATAAATAATAAACACAGACTACCCTTTCACAAAATATTACAAATTCTTCCCAATGCCTTCAGGTTTTCCAAGTGCCCAGTTATGACCACTTAAAACTTTGCAGAGTCAATAGGACTGAGTTCGTTATTGTTGTTTTCAATGCCTAGGTTGGCCTTTGTTCGTCCAACTTTTGAATTCTGTAGTGGTTTGATACAACTTGAGTTAGTTGCTAGGCCATTTCAGAGGGTACTTAATAGTCAACTAAATTGCAGTGGGTCTACAGTAAGACAGAGGCCAGATCAGACAAGCATGGCAGATTTCTTTTCCTAATGCATTTCCTTCTGTGAAGAATGCTAGTGAACTGGATGTGGTCCCATTGCACCCCACCCCCATTGAGCATACCGACTATGAGCCATAACTGGGTCTAAAGTCACTTGGTTGCATGCGGATGGTTAGGAGGGGAGGGAAGAGAAGGCAGAAAGAGAGGCGGGGGGATGGGTGATGGGATGGATGCAGGGGTGGTGTGATGTGGTGGTGTGTGTGTGTGTGTGAGAGCGCGCGCGACGGGGGGGGGGGGGGGGGGGGGGGGGGCGGGTACACAGAGAAACTAGGACCACAATATTTACAGGAGATTCAACAGTTAGGGAATATACATGCCTTTCTTATATTGCAGCCTGACTCCAGGATGGTATGCTAACACCTTGGTGCTACGGTCTTGAACATCACTGAGCAGCTGCACAAGATTGAGAGTGGATGAACAAATAGGTGAGTGAGAGTGGAGAAATGGTGCAGGAGGTAGGCCGAGATTCTTGTGGGATTAGGACCAGTTGTATAAAACCTTGGTGTAACCAAACCTGGAATATTCTATGGAGTTTTAACTCCTTTACCTAAAGAAGGATGTGTGTTCCAGAGAGGGAGCACAGTACAGGCTCACCAGACCAACTCCTGGAACACTGGGATCACTGGAGACTGAAACTGTATTTGCCAG